GGCCAGTGCAAGGGCCTGGGAATTGAAAGGGATAAGCAGCCCAGGAAACAAAGCCCGGCCCGGTGCTCCGAGGCGCACGCAGCACCCTCGTGGGCACTCCAGGCGGTGCCTCGGTGCCTCGGGTGTCCGAGGCTGGCTCCCACCCGCAGTAGCCTCTGAGCCTTCGAGGAGCTCACCAGGTTCCCAGCTGCCAGAAAAAGTCCTAGTTTACTGACCTCGAGGGTAGCCTAGAGTTCAATTCCCAGTTCTGCAAAAAAAAAAAAAAAAAGGGCCAGGGAGATGGCTCAACACAGGCTTTTTATAAAATATCAAACAGAGAGAGGTGGGAAGCCTCTCTTTCACTCTCTACATATGGAGACAGAGTCTCACCGTGTGGTCCAGGCTGGCCTTGAGCTCATGAACTCCTCGGCTCTGCCTCCTCGAGTGCTGGGATTACAGCCATGTGCCACCTCACCAGGAGTCTTATAATTTCACCTCCTTCTGTAAATCCTATTCACAAATTAAAAAATATTGTAGTTATATTAAGTTTAAAGACAAGTTAAAGTTGACTATAGGCTGTGAACTGGAACAGAACACTTCCACAGTGCTCTGTGCACTTCCTGTCACGGAATGACACCACACAACCTCACTGAGGGCAGATTTTGTGTTCTTTTAAAAAACAGGGCAGGTCTGTTTTGTAGTTTAGGCTGGCCTGGCCCCGTGGGAGCTGGGATTACCAGCAGGTGCCACACTTGGCTGGGATGCTAAGCTCAAGGCCCCAGGGGTCAGCAAGTTGCCTAAAGCCGTGCTCTGCTAGTAATGGGCAGGACTGGCATCAACTCCAAGTCCAAGCACTCAGGGAGGCCACCAGAGCCCCAGGCTACTGCCACCACGTGTAGGGGTAGCCCTGAGCTGGCAGCCCCTCTGCCAGGGTCCTCAGCAAGGAGTTCTGAGCTTGGCCATGGGGCCAAGACCTTGACTGGGGGAGGAGAAAATAATAAGGGGCCATCTGGGGCACAACGGACCCTGGGAAGGGACAGGTGGGGGGCTGGGCACGCAAAGAGAATCTGCACCCAAAGGGTTAACCAGGCAGGAAAGCCCCGAGGGAAGAGGGAAGCTGCCTCAGGCCCTTCACCTCCCCCACTGCGGGAAGAAACTGTCGGGTGGGGCTGGTTGCTTTGGGGATGATTGGAAGCTCTGGGCCCCAGGTGAGCTGGTGGGGGAGAAGTGGGGAACACAGTGGGACTGGCAGGACTGAAGCCCCACCCCTTCCCTGTGGGCTAGGAATTAGGTGCCCTGGATAGGACCCCTGGCCCTAGGCAGGTTCTCCTTGGAGCAGGAGATACTGAACCCGGGCCTGAGGGATGCTCTGTGGGACCACAGCCTCGGAGAATGGGGGGCCTTCCAGGCGAGGCCAGGGCCTGCAGCAGTTTAGGGGTGGGGTAGAGTCCTTTCCCGCCTGCCTGGTTCTCGGCTTGCAGGGTTTGGCTGAGGAGAACGATTCAGGTTGAGATGCATTTTAGGGACTCAGAGGGCCCCAAAGAGATGGGTATGGGCGCACAGGTCGGAATCCCAGCGTTCTAGGAGTCTCATGCAGGAGGACCAAAAGTCTAAGCCCAGTCTGGCCAATTTAGTGAGACTGTTTCAAAATTTAAAACAAATAATAATTTAGAAAGGGTGGGGGTATAGCTCTGTTGGGAAGGCCTGGGTTCACTCCCCCCTCCCCCATCCTAGGAAAAAAGAATCCTAGCCGCAGTCTTCCTGTAACCAGGCGCCTTCGGACTTCGGCGTTTTTATCTGCCCGCTCCCCGAACCTGGCCGCATACCCTTCCCTTGGGTCTACCCAAAACCGTCCCCTCCTCTCCCCTCCCCCCAAACTGTTGGAAATCTTTCAACTTCTTTCAAGTGTTCCCGGGCGGTTTGGGGTCCGTTTCAGAGCTGGGTCAGAGCACTTTAACACCCCCAGCTGGGGAGAGCGGATAAGACAATAGCTGCTATCACTTTACCATTGGAAGTGACCCCCGAATTTGCACCTCTTTCATCTCGGGACCAGAGCCCGCAGGGTGGGCGATTTCCTGGGGGGAGTGGCTTCAGCCGCTTCCCCACCGGCCAGCTGCCCGTCGACCGTAGACGTCCACGCTCGACGGTCCACTTCAGTATGCGACGGGTGCTGGGGTGAGAGGCGCGCCTCTGGGGTCGCCCTGGGCAGGCCCGGCCCCGCAGGCCGGCGTAAATGTCCCGGGCTGGGCGGCGGAGGGAGAAGCGGACGCCCCCAGGGCTCGAGGCCACCCTCGAGGTCAGTAAACTAGGACGTTTTCTGGCGGCCGGGAACCGGGTGAGCGCCTCGAAGGCGACCGCGGGCGGGAGCCGGCCTGGACACCGCCGGGGTGCCGCGAGGGTGCTGGGGCGCCGCGTGCGCCGGGCCGGGCTTTGTTTCCGGGCTGCGTGTCCCCTCCGCGCCCGTGCGGAGGTCGGGCTTCGGCCCTCCGCGGAGCGTCCCCGGGCCGGCAGCCTGTGCCCGCCACCTG